GGAAAGCAAAAAAAAAAATCTCCAACAGAGTGAAAAGACAACCCACATATTAAGAAATAATTTTAGCCAATTGTTACTCAAGTAGCAAACTAATATCTAGAACATATAAAGAGCTGAAAAAAATCAGACTCAGTCCAAAAATGGGCATTCAATATGAATACACACATACTTTTCAGATGGAGTAGTAGAAAAGGCAAATAAATATATGAAAAAATGTTCAACTTCACTGGTTGTTCACTAGATGCAAATTAAAACCATGCTGAAATTCCATCTAACTTCAGAAAGAATTATTGTTCTCAAAAAATTAACCAATAACATATGCTGGCTGGGCTGTGGAGCAAAAAGAACCTTTCTTCATCATTGGTGGGAATGTAGACTTGTGGAACCATTGTGAAAATCGTTGTGGAGATTCCTCAAAAACTAGGACTGGAGCTCCATTTTGACCTAGCTAGTCTCCTTCTTGGAATCTTCCCAAAAGAATTTAAAACATCATGGCACAACCAATATGTGCACACCCATGTATATAGCAGCAGAGTTTGTAATCGTCAAATCTTGGGAACAATCCAAATGCTCATCAGCTGATGAATGTATAAAAAAGGTGTGCATGTGTGTTTTTTTAAATATAATGCAATAATACTCAGCCACAAAGAAGTATGAATGAGACATTTTCAGGTAAATGAATGCACCCTGAGACCATAACCTTCAGTGAAATAAATGGGGCACATGTGTAAATGTAACATTGTTTCTCTAGTGTAAGGCATTGAAAGTGTAATAAGAACCTAAATGTATAATACATATTGTGAAAATAGAAATTGGGAGGGGAAAGGAAGGAATGGAAAAGATGAAAATAAGAAAATAAGGATAACAAGGAAACATAGCTTTTATAAATAAGGAGAAGGGTTAAAAGGAGGGGGCATAACTAGGAAAACAGGAATCAAGATACATCATGTACAGTTATAAATTCCCTATGATGAATGTGAACATCATGTACATCTAAATTGTAACATAAGCTTAATAAAAATAGTTAGCCTTGCATAAGTATTTCCCTTTTACAATATTTTCTCTACACACTTCATTTTGTTTAAAAAATATAATTTTCTCTATATAGGTCTTGAACTTTTTAAAGCTATTACTCAAATATATTATTCTTGTCTCACAAGATGGTTTTTTCAGTGGTTACAGTTGAATAATACTAGTGATAGTGACTAAATACATTGTATTTTGTTTCAAGTCATATACAACTATTTTATGATTTTAACAGCTTTCCTCTTCGCTGGGATTTTCTCTGAGAAAATTTTTAGTGATTTTATCTACCAGACTTCAGTAGTTCAAAGTCCTTTTATAATTTCTTGTACTTTCATGATGTCTAAACACTTTTAAAACTTATAGAAAAAATTTAAATATTATTAAAATTCCTTATTTTAGTAATAAAATGATTTAAAGGAAATAGTAGGACAAATTAACACTGGCTAGCAAAAAGTGTGTATTCAATCAGTACCTTGAGAGACAGGTTCTGGGTCATCATCATTTGTTATAAAATAACTGACTTAATGGAGAACTAAGAATCAATCTTTCTTTTTATATTTGTAAATTTTAGTTGCTTTAATAAAATTTAGAAATCTGTATATTAATGATTAAGTTGCTGTTTAAAACTTTTCTCTATCCTGAATCAAAAAGTAGATAAAAAGAATAACTTGTAATATTTGATGTTAATACAAATTTCTTATCATATCACTATTTAAGTATCAAACTATAGCTTTTATAAGGAAGTACTGTCCAGCAAAAATTGCATCTTGATTAGTTTCATTCATGAACTATGAGAATCCTGCAGATACTTGAGTTATTCACAGATAGAGAGATGACTAAGTAACTAGTACACTCACTGGAGATGAATGACCCAAAACACATGGTTTAGGAAAGGACAGATTAATGAACGCTCTGTTAGGTGAACTTGGAGTTAAAAATTGGCCAGAATTAATGGGAGTAATAAGTATGGTAGACAGGAAGCAGGAGTTAAGTAAAATGGAGAATGTCATTCAGGTCAGGGCCAGTCTTGGAAACAGAAACGCCAGAGGTGGAGGAGAGCCTTTGGGTAGTATCCACTCCTCAGATTAAAGACTGGCTTTGGTGTTTCAGTATTCCTGCTGCCTATGCCTCCTAATATGGGAAGCCAAGGGAAATAAATCAGTGTCTTCCTTTCTATTTTCACCTTAATATCAAGGTTTGTTCAGTTTCAATTTTGAATTACACAAGACCCTAGGGAATCTACTAATTCTATAAATATTTCTTAGCAATTCCCATTTGGATGACTAAGGATCAAATTGCACCAATAGTTTTTTTAAAAACCTGTTAGAAACAAATATAATTGCTTTGTGAAACATATCTTGGTATAATTACATGCATATTGTGCTATGATATAATTTTATTTTTTACTGTGGAATAGAGTAAAAAACAGCCGCAACAGGCTATGTCAAAGCCCCACATTGAGGAAGAAAAGCTAATTCTTAAAGGAAAACTGGAAAGCAGTGTCGTAAAATAAGGCAAGGTGGATGTCCACGGGAATGTCTGCCTCCATCACCAACTATTCTACTTAGCATTGCTAGTGCACGGTGATAATAACCACATCAACTTTAGTAAAGAAAAAGCTCTTTAAAGAGTTCTGAAAAGCTACTAGTGAAATTTTTATGTATTTCTATTTTAATTCCAGATCAAGAAGAAAAGGAATAGATCATAGTTCCAACTTTTAGAATTTATATATGGGGTAAATATGAATTGCAGCACAATAGGCCAAATCAGCCTGTCTTTGTACCTACATGACACTAGTGACAACTATGAACCAGGATTCTGTTTTTGCTCTTTCGGATTTTAATGGAGTTAAAGAGACAAAACTAGAATATGTGAGATAATAACAAATAACATACTTGGATTTCTTTAAGATCCACCTTGAGTTACTGATTATGTGAAAGACACATCTACCAAAGGAGATGCTATGTGTTCTGTAATGATACATCATCGCTACAAAACCTTTGATAATGATGTAATGTTTATTGAGCAGTTACAGTTGGTAGATAATACTGCAAGTCATTTACACCCAGTATTTCATTCACTACAACTATTCTAAAAGAAAGATGCCATTTTCATCTACCTGTTATAAATGAACAAACAAAGGCACTGGAAAATTAAGTCATTTAACTAAGATCACAAAGTTAGTGATGAACAAGGATCTGGGTTCGACGAGGATCTTCTCCTAATTGTTCACAGATTTTATTCAGGCATTGGTAATTAGATTGAGGTTTTACAGAGTCATATTTAAATGAAAGAAAATAACAGAGAGAATTCCCCAAAGGGAGGGAATCTGTGATAACAGAAGTTACAAAGTTAGTACGAGTGTTACGTACTTTAAGACTGACAAAGCTTAATAAGAGTTGGAAGTTCATCATTTGATATATCATAGATAAATTTGATACCTAGAGAGTTCTAAATTTCATTCAGCCAGTTCTTGTTGAGTAGAAAACAATGAACCATTAAATTATTTTTAATAGTCATATGAGAAAAGCTACAGGTTTGAGCAACTAGTTTTTAATTAGTTTAATTTTTAATTAGTTTGAAGAAATAAGGGTTATGAAGGTCATCTAGAACACTGTACTTACAGCCTAAGGCAGGCTCAAACAGGAATATATGAAACCATTTGAAGGAACAATTGTCAAAATAATCACGTAGATATGGGGAAAAAATTGACTGAGTGAAGGTTACTCCTAGAAATTTGAAACCATATTGTTGAGACAAGGATAGTTCTAAGGTCTAAGGCAGAGTAGTTTGGAGATACAACTATTAGTTGAGTTTGAGACAGTTGACTAAATTCTATGAGAGCAGATGGATGAAAAGAAATCAATGTTCCAAAGTTACTTTCTCTAAAACAAGTATGGTTTTCATCATAAAGTGTTTGATAAGCTTGGGAATTTCTATTTCTACTCAAAATTTTATCATTATACATAAATTTACAAACAATGACAATGATTATACAAACAAATAATCTGCTTCATTTTTTCCATTTTTAAGAAACTAGGGAAGTATTTCTTCATAAGGATAACGACTGTATTAGGGTCAGACTTGTTTTTGTGGTAAATTAAGTAAAAGTATTCTGTATTAACAAGAAGAGTATATTTATAGCTATTTATTCCTTTAATATTTGCTAGCACTGAGACTTTAAAAGTAGCTCTTAAAATACAGTATCTAACCTGTAAATTCATGTCCTAAAACCTAAATGTCAGAGGATATATGCAAGTATGTAAAGAGACTGTGGCGGATTTCACACCACTACGATGGACTAAGCTATTCCTGACGATGAGAAAGGAGAAAGAGGTTTTGTTTTACTTTGCTAATTTGTCTGCCTTTCAATGGTAGTAAATACATTTTTCAGTAAAATGTGTTCTTTTTTAACAGCTAGGACGGATAATGTCAAAAAAATTGATACAATTTTCCTTTTTATTATGAGGAAATTTCCAAAAACCTACACAGCTTACTTATAGTCACTTACAGGTGGCAGAAACAGGCCCTGGGGCCAGAGATCAGAGCCGGCTGCTTCTCATACTGCACAATTCCCTCCAAGGGAAGAGACAAGCAGTTCTAAGGAGGAAGCAAGAAGCCACATTACCACAGCTCTGCTGAGGCAGGAGAGTCATCAGTGTGCGCTGGTGGTTGTATTTCCCCTTGGTTCTCTGTGTGTGTTTTCTCTAAACAGGCTGGGGCCTCACCTCAATGCTGATCATTCCTCCCCAGCAGGAAGAGTGTGGCCTTCTGAGTCACTGCTGCTTGCACACTGTCAGCACTCTGCTGTTGGAGCCTCTTTATGCAGGAATTGGCAATTACTTAGCTGTGTGGCAATGCTGGCACAAAACTGATCATGTTCTTATCGGGCTGTATCATGACTGCAAAGCACCGTCATTAAACCTGTCAGACTTGTCCTTGAATTATTGTCAGTGACTGTCTTTATTTTCCAGCCTCCAACCTTGACCCAGCTGATACAGATCAGGTGGTGACAATAGAAGCTGCCCCAGTCTTGGTCCATGATGTACGCGTAAGTACACAGCTTTTCACAGTAAGCATTTCCCGCGGGAACCCAGGTCTACAGCGCCTAAGACAGGCTCCTGGGAAAGATTACTTTAAAGAGTTCTTCGTGTGTGGTATGATATTGTGGTGTTTTGTGCTTTATTTTGTTGCTTTGAATGTAAACATTTTCAAAACAAAAAAAGCCAATGTTGTCTTTTCCTTCTAAATAACAAAACTAGACATTATATATAGCAACTATTAACTAACATATATTTAAACATTTCGAAAAAAGCTGTCCTCTGAATAATAAAATATTTAACATGGTACACTGGATTTTTTTCAGTGTATTCAATATCATACTGTGAATTATGTTATTTATTGTGGGATATTCTGGGACAATGAAATACATACAAATCAAAGATGAGAACCTATTAGAATTATTTGTTTAACTTTAAATAAATTCCATTATTAACAACTAGTGTTAATGTTAGTGTTAGTATTACATGTATCACATAAATGAAATAATAATAATTGCCATCCTCGTGTGAATAATTATTGAATTAACAAAATTAAGATTTCATGTGATATTTGTCATAATTTAAATTCAAAATAATTTACCCATTAATAAAATTAAGGTAATAAATTTGTACATCTCTGTTATGTTCAATTTTATTATACCTGATGATATAGGAAATTCTTTTTAAGGTTGCAAGGGGCATTATGGTAACTATTGTTGATTACCTGGTATTCTGTTTTTACATCATGTACTATGTCCATCCTTTGTTTTGACTGACTCTGCTTTGTTTTGTCATATTTGGTTTTATTCTCTTCCAAAAAATGTAATAAGAACTGTGGGAGTAATAAAACCCAAAATGTTTAAGTGTTATTATAAAAAAGAGGAAAAGAAAGTGCTCTAATGGACACAACTGCAAGTGTGTTTAGGTGTGTAAGATAGATGACCACATTACTAAGTTTTTGTTGGATCACTGAACACAACTGTTTGTAGTCTCACTGTTTGAATGTCCACTTTGTATGCTTAATTTTGTAACTTGATCAACTATTTCTAAGATGGCAATATGTAATTTATTAACTAGTGATTTTTACTGTTTATTTTTTTTGAAATTCTGTATTATTTGTACCCTTTTATTGTTGTTTTTTCTCTTTAAATAAAAAATAAAAAAATAAAATGAAAAGATCCTTACAAGTTAAAAAATAAAAATAAATTTGTACATCTGTGTATAGTGAGGTAATACTCAGGTTATTGTTTTTATAGAATTAGAAGTAATAATTAATTTCAATTAAATTCCGTAATCTATACTCACCTCTCATGAGAATACTCAATCTGTCCATGGGTGCAAATTTCTCAGTCTCTACTGCCTGTTGTTTCAGGCTTTCAGTTTATGATCATTATAATTATTCAGTCATCTGCATATGCCTTAAATTAATTACTCTGAGACTGCAGATTCTGCCACTATTGAACGATAAGTATTCCTACTGCCTTCATTGATTTCCAGTGACAGCAAGAGCCCCAGGAAAACTGTCCATTTCTAACCAAAAGCTTCTCCCCACAGATCCTTTCATGACAGCAAGACATAGCATATAACTCTACCTCTATTAAATACCAGAAAGTGGACTTTATCTCACTCTGTCTACAAATACAAGGACAGAATAACATAAAATGTAGAGTAGGAGAAAACTTACCTTATATTTAACAAGCATTTAGATAAATATGATATAATAATGATATCAATATTAAAAATCCAGTAAGGAACTGGAAGCTCTTTCATACTCATTTATAACAGGCTTTTGTAGTGTGGCTTTTTTACCAGCTCTGTTCTCATGTCCTCTATGATCACTCGTTCTCCACTCTGAAAGTATCATGATGTGCGTGCAGTTTCTATATTAAAACTTCATCAGTTTATATTCAAGATGTACAGTCTTGAGGATGTTATCCTTTCTAATTGGATTCCAGACAAAAATAATATAGACTGTGCATGAGACAAGAGGTCAGTAGTGTGTCCATTACCTTCATCAATAAAGGTATTTGGCCCGAGGGATCTAGTCTCAAAGAGGGAATGAGTTGGATATGTTATAGCTTCTGAGCAAAAGTTCTGTCTTTGTCATTTTGATGTAATAGAAAAAGAACCAGCATGATAAGATATGTTCTAAGTCTAGGTTTGTACTCATTTGTCCGGGAAAATCACTGACCTCTCAAAACTCCCGTTTTACTTATACATTTTGGAGAGAGATTATAGTAAAACAAGTGGGGAAGGAGGTTTTGTTGTCATTATTGGACCTTGAAATCATTTTTGAGGATAAAAAGAGGTTATTTTTGGTTGAATGGCTTATTTTGACATTGTTAATTTTCTCTGTTGTATTTAAGTAGTAATGAATAATATTTCATTTTTATTGTGTTATTTTTATTGCATCTTAAATAGTATTATGTCATGGAAATATTTCATTTGTATGAGATTTTGCATATACCATGCTATGATGTAAAATACTTCTGACTGTTCTTACTGGATACTAAAAAGTATTTTTTAAATCTCGACATTAGATATTCCTAAAGTCTTTTCAATAATTTGAGTCTATGATTTTAAAAAGTTAATAATAGTTGATGTGGTAAACATTAATGTTCTTATTATAAGAAAATCATTTAAATGCTCCAAAATTACATAATTTTTCCCTTGTATGTACATTTGTGGCCACCCACAAATGAAGCAGAGATAAGAGAAATAATTACTGACAAATAGACTTTGGTGTCAAGAGCCAAACCAGTAAGCCCCACTTTAAAGGTATTTTCTGATAGATGCAAAAATAAGAATAAATAGGGCAGTATGAGAGTGTCCACCAATCTCATAAAAGTTTCTCTGAATATATGATGATAGAGTTCAGCCTCTAAAAAGAAGTCAAAATGAGTTGGAGGAAAAAGATGGAGTCATGAACTCTCAAGTACATTTATAAACATGAGGGAAATTGCCTCATGCAACTGAAGTGATCAGTCTGATTATGAAGGAGTTTTTGTATCAGATTAAAAATATTTAAACTTTATAGTGAGAGTTGAGTAAAAATGTAAACAAGAGGAAGAAATCGTGGACTTTTCAGTTTAGAACTGCTGAGGTCCGTTTCCTTTGCTGGTTGTCCTGTCACCTGGTCACAGCTGTAGAGGTAGGCGAAGGGAGTGATGGGAGACCACCTGGTTACATTTGCTTCCGGGGTCTACAATGAATCTTCTTCTTCACATTTGGTGAGACCTGATAATCTTCATTCAAGTCTCGGGCAGAAGCTGCTGTGATACCAGGTTCCTACCCTCAGGTTTTAATTATCTCTAAGCATCGCCTTCTTCTTCAAATTGGTCCAACGTGTTATAGATACTCAAATTGGTCCAACGTGTTATAGATACTTAACTCTGTATATTTGATTACTTGTTCAATTTCTGTCTTCTCAGTCTAACAGAGTTTTGCTAGTGCAAACTACTACTGCAAAGCATATTTCCTTTTCTATTATAGGCTTTCTTCATTTGTATACTGTCTTACAATTATATATGATGAAAGTAAAAAAATAGACATTAAAGAAAGAGGAGTTATAAAAGTTTCAGGTTTACTCTTTGTTAGTTATCTGTCAAAGAAAGCCTGTGATGTATTTGAGATAATAATTCCAGAGATATATAAAAAGCTGACAAGCCAAGAGAATGTATTCTAAAAAATTTTTGTGTTGTGGTGGTGATGGGCATTTATTGTTGAAGCGATGAAAGCATCACAAAAATGCTTATAGACCAGATTTTAAATTCCAGCCATTCATTAATTCAACAAGTAGTTATTACACTAGCATATAGTGTAGTGGTGGCCCATTATACACAGACATACTGCATGTCCATGTGTGCTTTACATGCTTACATTATATATACACCTACAGATCATGTGTGCATACATGCTTCTCAAATGGTACATGAAAGGATACACAGGTACATACATACAAAAATGAAGCCAGTGTGACCACTATTTTTATATTATTTACAATCTAATGGAGACATAATAAGGGATTAAACAAGTAGAAATGAATTATACATGATAAGCCTGAGGTACAAACTGTGTACTTTGTCCAAAAAAATTCATCTCTTTTGTTTAACTGCTGGGTTCTATTAAAGTAGATTTCCAATTAATAGGCAGTGTCTATTTTTGCTTATTTGCAAATAAATAAAAGATAAACTTATGAAATACATTGAAAAACATTAAATTCTGATATAATTTCCATGCACTTAAGAAGGCGTGAGAAGTTCTAAATGGGATCTTTAAACACTGTTCAGTGAATGTAGAAAAACAGCATGGAATCCAGGAAAGCATCTCAACCAGGAAGACGTCTCCACTACGTCAAGTGCTTGTTGTCCGCAGTCTCTATGGCTTTGGAATACTGTGGAGTCGGGTGTGTTAGGGTAGTAGATGGATATCTAACAATGAATAGCAAGAAAGTTTTCACACTCTTAAATCATAGAATCATTATAAGATTTACAATTTATTATGAGGCATTATGAACCTTTAGTAGTTAAAAAAATATTCAAAATCCAAGTTAAAAAGCCAGTGCAGGGCCGGGGATTTAGTTCTGTGGCTTAAGTGCCTGTCTGGCAAGTGTGAGGTCATGAGTTCAAGTTCTGGTACCAAAAAAAAAAAGGCAGTGCAAAGACAAATCAGAGATATTTATTATATTTTCTAGTTTTGATTTCTTATATTTTTTCTAATAGTTCATACGAAAAAACTTCGAGTTTTAGCAAGTTTCCTGTAGTTGCCCATATTTAAAATGTGCTAACTGGTCTATATGTTTTTTGTAAAGTTTAAAAATTTTTATAATTAACTGCTTATTACTGCTCAAGTTGAAAAGCAAGCTACTCTGAGGCACTCAACAATTTAGGTGACACTATCACTGAGAGAAGAGAGTAGTCCATATCGTAGGTATCATATATAAGTGAATATGAATTAGTGTAAAATACCACTTTAGAAATTAAGCAGGATAATCTACAAGTGGAAATTATAA